GGCTTTGGATGCTGCCTCGTTTCACCCCCTTTCCCCCGCGCTGTCAGACACCTAGCTCAGCTGATGAGTAGCTGGCTGTTAAATGGCCCTCGCTTGATTACTTGCAGTCACCTGCCTGTGCCTTGATTTAAAGGTGAAGAAGGACTTGTGGGTCTGAAAGCTTTCCTTGTGGTTTTTTCAGTGATGTCAGTTAATCTGGTAAGATACTGTCTCTCCCCCTAAGGTTTACCTTGAAAACAACCTCTGCGGAGCACATGTCAGCTCCTTGTCATTCCAGGGCGTCATCTCATGTGCTTTATTTTTGTTGCCTGATGTTGCCTGGTAAGGACAGACAGCTGGCGTGTTTGCAGGGAGGATTTAAATGCTGGTAACCTCGAGTGCCTGGGGCAGATGGGCACCCGGCCTCTGCCTTCCAAGCCTCTCCCTGCTGATTTCACGCATCCGTGTGTTACGAAACCCGATTAATGACCGAGTGTGACGAGGTCAGATGAGCGGGTTGGAGAGCTTCAGTGGAAGGCTGTCATCCTGCGAGACGGATTCTTGTCACGCTGGAAAGGCGTCCTGCGATTGCGGTGCTCTGCGGCCGCCACTGGAAAGCGGGGCTGCTCTTTTGGCAGGCCGAGCGTTTCGATTTAATGCTGGTATGTATTTAAATTCCGAAAATGCAGTGATTAATTATGTGGCCACGCTTCCATAAGCACAGTGATAGCCAAACAGGTTTAACAGAGTCAAAATTAATCAGAGGAACAGCCTTCAGTAAGAAATTGTTGCGGTCCCGAATTAAATTTTCGGGGTGTTTGATGCACCTTCCTGAAAATGCTCCTATTTTAGTGCTGTTTCCCTGGTGCGGGAGGAAGCGCTGCCTGGCGTCGGGCGCTTGCGAGTCGTGCAGAGCTGCTCCTGTCCTGTCGAGGACTCGAAATTGGAGGTTTCAGCGTTGCAACGCCACGTTTCGGTGGCGGGAAAAGACCGCGACGCCGCGGTTGTTGCAGATGCCCTGCGCGGGAAGATGTCGAATCTGTGTTTCCTTGGCTGGACAGACTCCTGCTTGGGCGCCCGCCGCGTTTGAGGCTGGCAGCGACTTGCAGCGATTCCCACGAGGTGGCATTGCAAGACTAAAATCCCCTGGGCCTCTCTCCAGCTGCAGCCCTGCCAGCGGTGCTGGCGTCTGACTTCCTTGTAGCCCTTCGCTGCAGCGCTATGTAACTCCAGCGTTACTCCAATAGCAAAATTTTCTATTTAATTTGAGATTTGAGCTCCGCCAGGTGCGAAACCCCTCGCCGGGGTGAAAAGGCTGCCAAAGGGTCGCCGGTCTCCCGTCAGTGCCGTGCCGGGTCCTGCTTTTTCTGAGAGGCTGGAGCAAAACCAGGTGAATCTGGGCCTTCTCACGTCACGTTTCTGGGCCTTTGTTAAACTAAATCCTCGCTCGGGTTGTTTCCGTTCGGCCTGTCCTCTGTGCCGTGACTCTGCTTTGCATCGCCACGCTGTTTGTTTTACCTATGGCTGGACCAAACCTGCTGCGCTTTCAGATGAGCGTTCATGCCGTTCCTCTTGCAGGTTTGAATGGGGAAGAAGCCTCCGGCTTCCTTCCGCTGAAGGTTATCATTTTAATTGCTTGAAAACTTGCCTTTAAAAGGCAGGTTTTGCAGAAACATTACACAATGGTGCATCTTTGCTTCCCAGCCCTCTCCTTGGCATCGCTGCGCCTCCTCTGGTGTTGGGCAGGAGACCTGGGGGAGACTGCGGATCCTGGTGCTGCCCTCCAGGCTCCCCAGCTCTGAGCGTGTGAGCGAGGAGGCTTCTTCCTTTGAAGCAGTTCAGAGCCAAATAGCTGCTTTTGTGGGCATGTTGTGTGAGCCGCTGGCGGGCAGCTGGGCTGGCACCAGAGGAAACAGTCGCGCGTGTCGGGAGGGAAAGGAAATTGCCCTTTTGAGCCGAGTCACGGCCCAGGGAGGGAGTCGATGCGAGGAATGCAGCTCATAAACCTAAAATGAAGGAGGAGAAATTTCCGGTAAGGCTGCAGACGGTGTCAGGGCTTGTGAGAAATCCCTGGACATGGAGCGATTGCGTGGAGACCCAGCGAGCCCTCGCACGGGGTCTATCTCGGCCTCTTGGTTGCAGGGTTAGAGACATACAGAGTTCCATCTCCTGGCGCTTGCAGGTTTACGCCTGGTTCATGTGATGCAGTAAAAGCGTTTTGCAGAAAAGGTCAAACTTGGGCATTAAGCAGTTCCTTCGGAAAGTCGCGGTGTCCTGCAGAAGAGGAATGCACCCCAGGGATTTCACAGCATCCTGGGGGGCCAGGCCCCCCACGGTCAGCTTCTCGCTTTCTAAAGGTAAGGTAAACCTCCGGACTGAGGAAATCACAGCCACAGGTGACTCGTGACATTGGGCGCGTTGACGGCGTGAGGAGCTGCCTCCGGGTCCCTCCGCTTTTCTTGAAGCGCGTTTCTCAATGCCACCTTTGTGGTCCGAAGTCCCCGGGGGGGCTCTTCATTCAGCTGGAGTTTCTTGATAGCTGAAAGTGGATATTTTCTTCACTCTCTCCCCGCCTCCTCGTTTAAGTGAGTCGGATGCTGTTCCCTCCCTGGAGTCAAGCTAAAACAGGCCCCGTGCGATGAAAGCTTGTTTTGTCTTGGTGGTAAAAGAGCCTGTGAGACTGGGCCAGTCGCTTTGTTTGCGTGGTGAAGGCAAAGAAGGGGAGGCCAAAAGAAGCACGTTACCTGAGCAGATGACTCCCTCCTGCCCTGGGAAGAGGAGTTTCACTGGGCTGCTGCGTAAAGATGATATTTTTAGGGCTGGGAGCACACTGGTGTGGGGACGCGTGAAGATGGCGCTGGTCAGAAAAAGAATCATGGAATCGTTAAGGTTGGAAGAGACCTCCAAGATCATCGAGTCCAACCGTCGACCCAACACCCCCATGCCCACTAAACCATGTCCCTAAGCGCCTCATCTACACATCTTTTAAATACTTCCAGGGATGGCGACTCAACCACTTCCCTGGGCAGCCTGTTCCAATGTTTAAACACTCTTTTAGTAAAGACATTTTTCCTCATGTCAAATCTAAAACTCCCCTGTAGCAACTTGACCCCCTGGCGCAACTTGAGGCCATTTCCTCTCATCCTATCGCTTGTTCCTTGGGAGAAGAGACCGACCCCCACCTCGCTACAACCTCCTTTCAGGTAGCTGTAGAGAGCAATGAGGTCTCCCCTCAGCCTCCTTTTCTCCAGGCTAAACAACCCCAGCTCCCTCAGCCGCTCCTCATCAGACTTGTTCTCCAGACCCCTCACCAGCCTCGTTGCCCTTCTCTGGACACGCTCCAGCACCTCCTCTGTGTCTTGTTGGCTCATCGGTTTTACTGGCCACTAGGAGACCCATGTCAAGGCTGAAATAGGAAATAACGTTTGTAAACCAGCTTAATAATGGTCAGAGTTTGTCTGAAGGGCAACCCAAAAGCAGCTGACTAAGGAGGAGGAAATGTGTGAGCGAGTTTGTGCGGAGGAGCGGTGTCGGAGAGCATGCCC